AAAATATGCCAACTGAATTTCATAAAAATTTCAGTAGAATTGCATTATAATTTCATACTATTTTAATTAGTGTTGAATTAAAACTTCCTTGTAGATAATTTCGTTAAAATTTCATCGTAGAAAATTTCATGATACTTTTAATTAGCGTCGAATTAAAATTTCCTTGCAGATAATTCCGTACGAATTTTATTGGAATTCCATGGAAGTGTTATTCGATGAAATGTCATTAGAGTTGCATTGCAAAGTTGCATCGAGACTGTTGATAAGTAATTGAAAATTCTGCACAGTTTAAACGGAGAAACGCAGTGTTCTACGAACACGCAGAAACGTCTAAAGAGTGCAGATTACTTAACGCAACGATTAATAATGGCAGCATAAAGCAATCTGAGCATTTGTAAGCGAACAACGTAAGCGCAATACCGTTTTGCTGTGCGAACGTGTGCGCGCGTGCACGAAGAATATAGTAGTTGCGAAAAGCTAAATGTATCAGTTCGCGAAGACGCAACGTCATCCGTGCCAGGGAAATTTCCTTTCTCCTTTGATCTCATTATCTATCTAAAACCGGTAACGCAGCCTGATCCCGTTCATATTGCTGATCCATTCAATCTAATGAATATTTATACGGATTTATTCGCTGTAATTATTACAAGAAATAATTTCTTTAATATTATCAAACATGAACGAGTGCGTGTCTTATTATTTGTACATGTGTGGAATCTCACGTGGAATCCGTCGATGTCCAATTAATTCTAATACTAAATTAGAGTCTCAACTATTTAACACGTTGGTCGCCACGTCACCCTAGAAAACAATTCACATTCGATAAAAGAATACGGTACAGAATGGAGTCGTTCCCTTTAAACCAGAATATGAATCATTCATCTCATCCATACGTTTAGTCTTCTTCCACGTCCATGAAGATAACTCTTCAACTACGGTAAAATCGAACTAGAAGAAGTACAACGATGTTATGGAAATTTTACCACTTCAATTGCACAGCTTTCCAGATATAGATTCCATCAATGTCGCAACACACGAATACTATTTCCGTATTGTTCTATAGTAGGTTCTATATATATCTACGAACTATAGCGTTTAACGATGGTCTCAGTAGACTGCGTCGACGAAGATGAAGATAGAACAGAAAATATTTTAAGGCGCAGACGTCGAATTTGATATATTAAAATTATCTACAATCTGTATGATAGTACGACTTTCATGAAAAACAATTATTTAAAGCAAGCAAGGTTCAATCTCTACTCCAAATGTATTTGTCGATCGTTATCGGTAATTGTTTACAAATAAAAAATAATTCTCCTCAGTCAATTACAAGCGATTAGTAAAGACAGTCAGATCTAAATCTGTTTTATTATAAACCCATCCATTTTTCAATTACGTCGAGAAGAGAAATAAAATATCTTTGTAAGGAAAATATAGATAGCGACGATGACAACAAGCCAAGAACCTTACACGCTATTCGGATAAAACCTATAAAAGAGTAAAAAACTATATTGTGTTTCTTGTAGTTTAAAATCTGACACTTAAAAACTTGCTAGTCAAAGTATGACGAGAATAACTTGGAGTTATGGATTGAACTTAGCTAATATTAACAATTCTAAATTGTGTAGCATACGAAGTTATGAATAAAACACATATCATGATCCAATAAAAATTAGTCATAGATGCTGGTTTTTTATTTCAAGTCGAAGAAAGCTTATCGTGTAATGGCTCCAGCATTGCTATTTTATTTTACAAAAATCTAAATAAAAATTATCATTTCTCTATTCAATATATGAATAACAAAACCCAGCAAGAAGATCTTCCATTAGGTGAATTAATGGTTCATTTCCATAACAAAAACGATTGAATAAAGCCATAATTTTCACGCGTCCGAGAAGTCCAACGCGATTAGTTTTGTTTCGTAGATGTAACGGGATACCGTGTCATGGATTGCGAAAGTTAAGGGGAAATAAAAAGTAAAACGAAAACGAAACACCGCGTGGGGCACGCAACGTGCGTTGGGAACGTGCTCTTGTAAACCGCGCGCGTTCTCGATGCACTACGTGTGTTCACTGCGACCTGCGCAACATGGAAATTGCGATCGATCGATCGACGATGCGACGACGCGGTACGTTTCAGGTGGACATTTAATTACGAAGTTGCCGTCTGTCGATGACATCGTCCCGATCGTGACGCAACCCTCGACGTAGATCGGCCACGTTCAAAAGACCGGAGGGAGCACGAGTGGCTCGAATGGAATTGCGACTGGAGGGAAGCTTCGTCGCGCATCAGGTGATTTCAACTTTCCGTACAAGATGACGCGTGGCTCCTATAACACTCCTATAACCCTCCTATAACACGGTACACTTAAACTGCGGTTTCCGCGGAGGAAACGACGAACCTCAGAATTAGAAGAAAATAGAATAATTCGTAACGAGTTATGCGTTTCTATAGGTTCAAATAGGAAGCCTACCTAGAACGATTCGAAAGAGAACATTTATGAACATTTATGAATTTTTTTGGGACCCTTTAAAGTTAATTTTTGAGGTAAGGAAGTGTGGTTGGATCTGTAATTAATAAATTGACACTCTTATTAAACCGTATATATTTTAATTAAAGGCATGAGAAACGATTGTGATAGAATATATAAGCAAATTGAAGAAATAAAATGTATACATATTCTTTAATTAATAAATTGACACTCTTATTAAACCGTATATATTTTAATTAAAGAGATGAGAAACGATTGTGAAAGAATATATAAGCAAATTGAAGAAATAAAATGTATACATATTGCACGTGGCAGACACAAGAAGAACAAAAAGACTTCAAAGGAGTGAATATTCATCACATGTGCCTTTATCGTCTGAACCACGGTTTTCAAAATCCGATCATTCTAAAAAACATATTTTTAATATACATAATACATAATTAATATACATAATTTAAAAAATTTTAATAGCAACGCTAAGTTCAATGAAGATGATTCTTGATTTTTTCGTTTCAGATAAACAGAACGCCTGGAATCGTGGCAATCACGAACATATATTTTGTTCAGGACAGACTTCATGAGATCGCTTGTACTACGTTTCATTTTGATTACTTTTACCTGGAAAAAAATTGTGTATATTCTTAAAATGTGATTAAATGTGTGTCCAAAACCCCTTTTAAAATCGCGGTGCCCAAGAATAAGGAGTCCAACAAGAACACGAAACGTAAAGTACGGGATTGGTCGTGTAGATAAAGCGTCGATCCGAGGATCGCGAGGACCCTAGTTTTCTTTTAGACTTCTACACCTTTATAAAAATTCCTTAAATATTTAAAACAGAAATATTCAAAAAGAATCTAAAAATTGACGCCCTGCACCAGAATGCACGTTAAGGGGTGTCAGAAGATTGAGCTTCAAGGTTGGAAGGAAGTTCGGATGCGCATCCAGCGATTTCGAGTTACTTCTTCGTTGATCGACCGGAATAAATCATTCCGACTGTTTTCGTTGCAAAGGCTCTGTGCGGCGCGGGCTACTATGACGGGAAGCTGACCTTTTGAATTAATTGACGTCTATTGTAACTTGTCCCGCATCCCTTGGCCGCTTAAGATTGCGAAATGATGCGCGGTCACGTAGATATGATGCTGCCGCCTGCAACAGGAAAATCACGAACTTTCTCGCGTGTCGGTAGTTTCAACTGCTCGAGACTCGTGGGAACTCGAAGACACCCTGGCTACCGTTTATCGCCGGGGTAACAATCGCAGCACGCCATTAGCAATCTAACGTGGCAGAAGCAGAGGTAAAAAAGTAACGGATATGCCTAAAATTTGTATACGAAAAAAAAAATATACATGTCGAATTGAGTGACCTCCTCCTTTTCGGAGTCGGTTAAAAATCGTTAACATTATTCGTCGTTCAGGCTATTTGATGTTTCGAAAACTATTGACATACTATGACACAATATTTTATTATAATATATAATTAATTGGATTATTATATATATTTTTTTATTTATTTATTGTTACATCAGCATGTACACCATTAGCGACCATTGCGAATTACATTTATTACACATCTATAAAATACATACGTGAGTCATTAATAATTTATACAAATAATTACTTGTGATTAGGTAACAAATTTCTTACATCTAACAATAATAATAATGAATAATTTAATTGTAGTGTCCTGTTTTTTTCTGGTTTATATTTCTTCTGATAATCTTGTTCTTTGTAAATATGAGCTTGTTTTTTGTTCTATATTCCATTTGTAATAATGCCTCATTCTTTTTGTGTGAAATATATATTAGGTCTACCGTGAAGTTCCGTCCGTTTTTATAATAATACAAAATAATGAATTTTTCATACCTTGAATAAATTTAATTGAATAATATAATTTTTATCATTATTTATGACATCATGATTGCAATTTTTATACCGTTATTAATGAATATGCGCATACTTGTTAAAAAGTTGTAACCGGAACGGACAGACCTTTCCGGTAATCCTAAAATATTACAGTATTAAATTTTTCATAAAATACATGTATCCAGCGCATTACGTGAATACGTCCTGCGTGTACCATTAATGATACACGTGTCCCGAATATCAAATTTAACACGTAATATAAACGATAAAAAAATGCGAGATCCTTAAATATTCAAACAAGTTGTCAATTTTATCAGTTTCTATTTGAATAAATTGAAATTCAATATAACAAAATACGAGATCCTTAAATATTCAAACAAGTTGTCAATTTTGTTAGTTTCTATTTAAATAAATTGAAATTTAATGTAACAAAATCCGAGATCCTTAAATATTCAAACAAGTTGTCAATTTTGTTAGTTTCTATTTAAATAAATTGAAATTTAATGTAACAAAATCCGAGATCCTTAAATATTCAAACAAGTTGCCAATTTCATCAGTTTCTATTTGAATAAATTGAAATTCAATATAACAAAATCCGAGATCCTTAAATATTTAAACAAGATGTCAATTATCTTAATTTCTATTTGAATAAATTGAAATTTAATGTAAAATAATACGATTATTCCATTATCCGAACAAACTGATGTTCGTCACTCAATTAGATCATATACGAGAGACTCTACTGTATTATTTTCGCACGACAGTAAACGCGCCGAAGTGTAAGACCTGATAAGAAGCTTCGTCTTGCTCGTCCGATAATTACAGGGAAACTGTAACGGAGTAATTTCTTCTCTCCTAATGCGCCCCGTTCGTTCAGATGAATTGTGATCTCTGCTTTCATAAACGAAAAGGTTAAACTGCACAACGGATAGCGAAGTAAAAGGATCACCTTGGAAATTTTCACAGATAATTCCTGGGACCATACTCTGTGATTATAAAAGATTTGTTTAATAGCCCGTTGGAGACCTTGAGTCTATGAAAACGGCTGACCTATCTTTCTCCCATCTGTCTTCTAGGAATGTGTACGATACAAAGGTAAATTATCAACCATTTAAATTTGTCACAAAGAAAACGACTGATTCACGCCTGACATGCGTGCGCGCAACAAAGCCGTCGAAATGATACGGAAGCGTAAGCATTATCGATCATAATTAGTAGACTGCGTATCTTTATGCATATAAGAAGGATTGAAAGTAATGTTCATGTTATAATATTTTTGCAGAATATAATAAATTTCTATTTAGGTTCAATTTTTGTAGGGACGTTCGCGAAGATTTTACTTTGCATAAAGATCCGCAGTCTAATAATTAGCAAGGCGTAAAAAAAAAAACTAACGGATATAAATAACTTCCTAACGAACAAGTTAAAGTATGTAGCATAACGAACAAGCATAAGTATGTTAATACTTTTATCTCGACGAGATCTTGACGAGATTTTTACAAGATTGCCAATACAGTTCAAAATGTGCAAACATTCTCGGAATAATAATAATCTTTAAAATGCATTAAATATGTACATCTCCGAATTAATTGAATATTTACAATGCATATAGTAGCATTCAGTCTTCGATTAAATATTAATAAAAATCACGGTTTAGATAATAGAGAATTTGGGTAATAGAGTTTTGGATAATCGAGGTTCTGCTATACTCCTTGAAAACAAAATTAGATTCTCGTTCAAATGTTGAAATAAAATATTAAGCGTTTTAAAAGAATCAAAGATAACCTTGATATCTCTGCACTATTTTCTTGTAAGGAGGACAATAATAATACACGACGGAAAAGTGTCGTAATCGTCACTGAAATATACACGAAGTTCCCTACAATTGATTGTTCTGGCGACCATCGCCAAGGTAAGTGGATATAAAAGGTAGAAGTCTACATCCTAGACGCGTTGACAATATTAATGATTGCATGCTTTACAGTTCGTAACACATTACCTCGCCTGTCATGCGATGACGTATAAGTATACGTATGCTCGTGAAACACGTGATGCGTACACGTACAATAACTACTACTTAATTACAAATATACCTGATACTATCATTGATCATCGTATGTCAGGAAAAAGGATTCTTTTCTAGTTTAAAGATTTACTATTAATGGTAATACAAATTTTACTACGGACATACAAATACAAATATAATACAAATATAATACAAATTGTATTACGGAAATAAACAAATTAAATAAATAAATACATACGTAAATGCTAAGAATGCATATAAAAATAAAATACGAGAATAAAGGAGAAATAGAAATGCAAGATGATACTTTTTCTTTTACACGAACAAAAATTAACTGATTCAATTAATCTATTTAAATTTGTTTACGTAGTTCTCATAAATATGAAGTAACTCGCGCGGTTTAATTTGATCAAACTTTCCTACACGATGAAACAAATTAATAGAAATACGAATTTCAACAAATACCATCTTGACATTTTAGAAGTTCAACGGAAATAACACAGGAAAGTAATTAAATGTTTTCATCCATTTTTCGAATAAATCTTTTCAAGTCGTCGCTCTTCATTAATCGCACCGTTGTAGGTACGTTTGTCGATTGCTCTTATTGTCGTTATTTTGCGATGTAAAAGTCCCGGTTCATTAATGCCTAACGTAATATTTTTCTCGTGTATTTCATTTCAAAGCGGGAATTCATGTGGGACAACAAGTTTTCCTTCTTTGGTGTATCAAATATTACTTTCATATGTTCTTACACTAATTCTGGGACACCCTGTATATAGAAAGCGTATATATAGAAATCAATATTGAAATTATAAAATACTTTTATATATTTCCTCTTTCATAAATGGACTGCTACTATTTCATTCTTTATTTTTATTTCACTTTATTTAACGTTGCAGATGAACACATTTAGTTAATATAACCGCCTACTTGTTTCGATCTGCAGATACACACGATATTGAGATTCATTCTCGTTTCGTGGCAAGAAGTTTTCAAATAGACAATACATATGTAACTTAATGATAGCTTCGAACAAAGAAACACACAGTCCGGATGCGGAAAGCAATGGATTAAGAATATTACATAATTCCAAACTTTCTGAAATAACAATCTGTTTCTAAACTCATCTGAAAAATAGTACACGTTGCATAAGGATTTCGCTCGTCGAGAAGAACCGATAGTTTAAATAGATAAAAGACGAGGGGGGGGGGGGGCGAGAAAATTACCTACGTTGCCAATCTTTGGTTCTCGAAGCTACATTTCCATTAGTGCCATTACATCCATATTACGATATCAGATAGAACTCGTTATACGATTTCGTACTAATTGCTTCAGAGATTCGGTATCTCTTTATCAAATACACGAATTCCTTTAC